GCATTTATTAGCTTCAAAAATTGTTCTAACAAATATCATCTGATGACACCGCCCTTTCACTATATGTGTCCAATTGGCTCTCGGTGATTTTATTTTGATTTAATACGGCCAAAATGTTCAGACAATAGTTATCTTTTAATTTGATTTAGTAATACTATTAAAATGTCCAAGCAATTGCCATCTGATGTGTTCCTTTCAATTAGTTGGTACTACCGTCTGTCACTGTTTTAACACAGATTGGGTCAATTGCGACGCAGGGAGAAATTCGTTGTTCTTTTTAAGGGCGGAAAGTTTGCCTCTATAAATTACCTCCTCCACAGAGACATTATATGCATAAAGCTTGAAGCATACAACCGTCAGTGCTAAACAAAAAAAAAAACAAAACAAAATTTTCATTTAATGGTAGAAAAGGAAAAAATTCACTATCTAAAATTCATGTCAGTTAAGCTTAATCCTTCGAAAAACCATTTTTCATCATTTTGCTTCTATTAATGATTAAGTGATTCATAAAAAATTCGAACCGAAATTCGAAAACTATAAAAAATAATGCTCAATTTTGAGAGTTTTTGTTTTTTCAAAATATTTAAAACCATTAGATTCTAATAATTTGTTTCCTTCTTCAATATTTCATTTTTTATTTTGGTTGCATTCCATAAATGTAAAATTATTTCGGCTGATTCTTAACTGGATTGGTACAACAATATGCACTCACTATCAGGTATAATCCAAATTTCATTAGAATAAGTTCTGTTAAGCAGGGACTAATTTTATTCGATCCAATCTTCATCTGTCATATTCGTCGTGAAGGCGAAGTAGGAATTATACATTTGTCATATTAGACTTACCATTCGTACCACAAAATCTCCAGTAATTATATCATTAAAACCGCAACCTTCCTTCAAAATAGGTGGTTTGCATCGAGCATCAGGGTGGAAGAATAATATGGTTGTAAAAGTAAGTCATTCTAAAACCACAACTTATTTACTCGAAATTAATTGCTTATTTAAAGTCAATATGATTCAAAGAAGGTTATTGAAGAGCAATATATAAATTAAAGTGATTTTTTTTAAATTCACTTCCGGAGTAAATAAGATAAAAATTTAATAATAAAAATAAGAGAAAAATGAAGATTGATAAGTGAAGCTGATAACGATTAACAAATATTCGATAATTTTTGCTTTTTTATAGTTCCGTTTCACAATTTATTAGTTAAGAAATTCCAATTCCTCTCGCCTCCTTCCCCCTCCCCCCAATAAACAATGCTTCTCATTTGTGATCCAAAATTTATTTTCAGCATATTTCTGGATTTTCTTCCACATTAATTAGCATTATTAGTAAATGCTCCAACAAATATTCGGATACGATAATTCCGTTTTATAAGATTGCTATATGCAAGAACCGATCGTTTCATTCTCGAAAATAGTAACTGGATACCGCAGATGAAAAGATTAATTAAAGTAAATGTATTTGTTAATTAAAAATTAAGCCTATTCAACTCAGTGGGATAATTAAAAAGATAGATCTTTTTTCTGCTGAAAATTTAAAAATATTTCAATGGAAATTATTTAGTTAATCCGGAACATAAGAATTCTTGTTGTACTTTATGGTTTAGCGGTAGCAATAATGGGAACAATAATCATTATGGTTTTTATTACTGTTGAATTCTACAAGCGTTCCAGAGAAGAAGGAGAAAGATCCAAGAGATAAAATAGCTTTTGTTAAAGTACCGACAATGATTGGCTTCTAGCACGTTATCGTTTATCAGTATGCTTCCAATAATCTTTTACTTATATCTACTTATAACAGAATTTCTCTTGCTATTTTAGATTAAAACTAAAAATTTTTATTTATGATTTAATGAAATAGTGATAGTGATACTGATAAGTTGTGATAAGATAATGGAGAACGTCAGCAGGTAAATAAACAGTAATAAAAGAAGCATAATGAGTGAAATTTCGTTAATAACAATGAAAGGGGAGATGATAATACACAATAGGTGATTTGTACTATATAATCTTTTTTTGAGTATATTTTCCATTAGAATGGTAGAGCAAAGGGCCTTGTGACTGATAGCAGTATATATTAAGCTTAATAATAACAACATATTTTTGTTGGGCTTTTTTTCTATCTTGAAAGAAGAGGTCGAATAGAATTTTTTATTTTTTTGGCTCTCGAAAGCCAATAAAAAGCAAGACCAATTATAAGAGCTTGATGGGAGAGGAAAAAAATATATAAGTAGAAAAGAGAAGCTTGCAAAATGAACAGATTTTCTCAGTAATGCAAATAAAAGATATTTTAAAAGAAAAAATTCTTTAGTCGCATTTTGCACAACTTTTAAAAATTTAAATTCAATGAAAGAGTAAAAAGTATATGACAACATATTTGATCATTGCATCTGCTTTTATTCTCATGTTTTTCGTTAACTTTTGAATGATCGAAGTCAAAGGTCTACGAAGAAATATACAACAGACGTAAGAAGCTTGAAGATAAAGTTATTGTCGTTTTGGCTCGACAGATACGAAAAAGTGAAATTGAAGCAAGGCAGAAAATAAGTAGGCAGTCAGCAAATAATACCCTTTTAGCGATGAAAGAGAGAGAGGGGAAGATCACCAGTCTTAAAATTATTTTTCTTAGGCTAAGAAGCATTTATGCATATAGTTAGTACGTATTACTGCTATATCCAAACTGTGACTTTCGGTAAAATTAGATTAGAATTACTGTAATGCATTCTGTCTTCAATTGATTAGAAAGGAAACAGAGACAAAAAGAGTAAAAAGTGAAGCTTGCCAGATGAAGTTAATTACACGATAAAGAAGAAAGAAATGGGAGAGTGTGGGAGAAAAAGAAAGGAATTTGAAATAAATTGATGAATTATAATCCTAGCTTTGAGTCCCAAAAAATATGGAGTTTCCTTTGGCGGACAAATATCATGAAGAATTCTTCCGAAAGATAATTAGAAGATAAAAAAAGGAAAATTCGATGAAGGAAAAGAGCACTTTATAATTACCATAAATCACTTCATTCACCTTTTTTTCACAATAAACTTTTGAAACAATTTGCAGCAGTAAACTAATAACAAGGGTAGTGAGCACGGAGCAATTTATAAAGTACTCTTAAATTATGTGAATAGGTTCATACTCTCCTTTGGCATCCAATCCCAAAGGACCAACGAATAATGGCACGAAAGGATGAGAAAAGAAAGAAGTAATTCAATAGTTCATTTCAGTATGTTTTGTTCTTCAGTAATTCACGGAAAAATTCCCACCGGATAGGCGAATGCAACACGGTTATCATCGAATTCATCATTCATCTGTTGGAAAATGTATATATGGACGTTAGAATGCCAATCATACCAATAATATAATATAGCAACTGTTGCTAAGTGGGGAATTATTGCTCCCAGAAAATGAACCCTCTATCGCCCATAGCTTCAAGCCTTACGTTTAGGCTTACGTTTATTATCTAGTGCTATCATTTTTAGCATTTCCTGGTAACTGTTTGTTCCATTCTTTTGCAAGCCGGATTTTGTTGGTTATTGAATAATTTATTAACCAACGCATTGTTCTGCCGTTAGTTAAACAAATCATAGAAGCTATAGAACAACAAATATAAACTCAATGCAAGTAAACAAACAGACTATTTCAGTTAATAATACTTTTTATTGCCTTAACATCAAAACATATAGATGTGTAGCAAAAGTTCCTACGTATCACAACTATTTCTTTAGTACCGTTAAAATGCTACCTTGTTGGTAACAATTCCCTGAAAAAAAGCAATTAAATTTTAGAACTTAAAAGTCTAGAACTATGACTTAAGTGCCTTAATGAACAAATTATTTAATAAGAAACAGTTGAATACCTAATTTGATAAAACAATACTACAAGAAGAGGTAACAGAGGTAACAACAGCTATCCGTCTAATTTTTCAAAGTTTGAAATTTGGTGCAGATTTTGAAGCACAAGAGTTCAGTGAAAATGCTTAAATTGATAAGTTATCGAGCTGATTTTGGGATCCAAAAGAAAAACGTACACCATAAAAACAGTACACCATATTCTCAACAAATCAGTAGTAACAGCTTTATCTAGTATATTTTCGAATTTAGTTGAAAATTTGAACGATGCATGCCACTAAATCCAGTGACGACGCAACGGTTCAAATTATTATATCAAACGGCGTTAATCTTAAACTCAGTTAGAAGACTTGAAACTTATCGATTCGATATGTCAGTCTAAGAAAGGACGTTCTCATTTTTCATTATTGTTTTACTCATAGTACTGATGCAATAATCGCTCTCCATATCTTGATTTCATATCAAATGAGACATATAATGTTAAGAATTTACTTATTAAAAAATTACTTGAACGATAAAAAAATATTAAAATGTTACCATAAATTCCTAACATTTGCAACTGTTCTTCGGACAATCCGTTTCTGAGATCCAGAAGCTTTTGTTAAACTTCGAACGATGGGACCATAGAATGGAAGTAATACTGCAGACGACCATTTCTGTGATATTAGTTGTAAACATTCCAATGCTGCCAAGTAGACCATCTATAAGTAGGAAACTGAAAATTTTAAAACCTCAAAACATCCTTAAATAATCTTAAGGATTCGTGAAGGCCATGCTGTGCCGTCATAAGGAAAGGTATTTTGAGATTCTAAAAGCTTTTCGGAAAAAATTTGAAGGAAAACAAACCATATCTTCGCTATGTTCAAGGCAATGTTGTAGACGTGGTAACACTTTCAATAAGAGATCATGACCAAACTGCTCAGCAGTTGCATTCTTCAGTAATGTTGCCAAACCGGAAATGATTTGTCTTTCCAAACGCAAATCTAAGCCGGATGTATCCAGAGCAGCACAAAGTACGGGCAACAACTAGAAATAGAATAACCTTGAATTTCTTTCATTATAGACAATTTAATTAATCTATTAAAACAGATTTTTGAATGCTAGCCATCCTCATTTTTAATTAAAAGCTGACTTTGGAAGCTGACTAAATTTAAGAAAATTACAATTTCAAAAAACTAAGTTATTAAACGAATGGTAAATAGATCTTAACTTTTACCTCTACATATCTATCATTCATAACAGCTGTCGATGATGCGGCAAGCGCAAAAAGCGGCGATAGTAAAGGAAATAAAGCAATCCGTTTGTCTTGGGATTCTAAAAATTTTGAAATATTTTTAAAACCCGATTACTGATCAGAAAACAATTAACCAGCACTCGACGAGATGTTTTTTAACGTTATCCGACGAAATTACTACTTAATTTTATGGCATGATAAAAAAATAATTTTAAGACTACATATAGTGACATACTGTAGCAATGAAATAACATCTTTTTAGCAAAAACATTTTTTAAATTATAACCATCAGCATAAGATCAGATTCAACTAATGTTTTCACTGAACTCTTCATTTAATTTTACTTTCTCTACACTTGAATCTACTTAGCACCTCAGATGCTGACTAATTCAGCATTGTTCTATCATAAGCTAAAAACTTTAAATAGCTTTTTGACACACTTTGCTGAAGTTCTTACACATTAGGAATGCAAGCTCATAAAATATTACCACTACTGATCACAGCTATTTTACCTCATCAAGATTCTAAGTGACAACGGCTAACATCTATTAACTATAAATGTTCCAGAAACTTCACAAAGGACGAGAAGCAATTCAGCATGACCAAAGAAGCTTATTGTCATATTTATAGTCATGTCAATCACTGTGGAAATTACACAAGGAGATCATAACACACATTCAAAATCATGACCGTCTAAAAAATTCAGATTTATATTACCTTTGCTTAAATCATTGAAATATTGGACATAGATAGGAATCAACTGACAAAATATTCTTTGCTTCCACAAAAACGTTGTTCGATATTTGCATTTTGTTGGATCAGAATAGCAAGTATCGAAAATTAGCATATCCATCAACGTATCTGTTAATACAGTGATATGTTCTGAATGGAAATACTGAACAAGATCACGAAGAAGCTGCAACAGTAAAAGTTTATTTTCTCCACTGTTGCACTGAAGTCGATTGTTGATTCATTCTTCTTTCACATATTCTTTATGACTGCACAACATCAAAAAGCGTCAGTAGCATTTATAAGTTTAATATTTAGTTGTTGCTAACAAAGGTCATACAACTAAATACTAACAAAGATGATAGCTACATCTAAACATTTGATTTTAGTCGAAAATGAATAATTATTACTGCAGCAAAGTAAGTAGATCCTTCAGGATGACCAATTAGAAGTAGCGCAGCACATAACCGAGCCTTGCATTTGAAACTATCCAAAAATTCAAGACTTTTTCGCATTTTTTCTATGTGATCAAGCGTTTCTACATAATTTGGCGATTTATTAACTACTGCAGCCATAATCAATGATTTATACCAGATGAAATTTTGATCTGAAGAAGTCAGTTCTGTCAGCAGGTTCAGAAGTTCATTGCTGTACTGAAATTAAGGAATTTTGTTTACCTATAAATATTAATTTTTAATACAGATAACTTTTTAACTTTCCAAAAGTTTAAATGGAAAATTGGGACTAATTCTTACCGGAGATTGGATAATGTACAAATATAGGCCTGGCAACACATTCGAGCAATTTTGTAGCTTTTTCCGGATCAAACGAAGACCTTCGAAATGTGTCCTGAAATTGAAAGATATTCCTTTTTGAGAAATTCATCAGTAGGGTAACAAATTCGAATAATTCTACCGTTAATGTTCCCGAGCTGATCTTAATACGAAAATACAGGGATCAAAAACGTTACCGATCATTAATTATTAGTCCAATTTGTTGCAGTAATTTCGACTGTGCTTCTAAATCTCGTGTTGATTTCATACCGAGTTCAAGCCTCATAAAAAAACAAGTCAAACTCTGCTTCAGCAATGTTTCTTGTAATGCCATACTTCCTGATTTGTTATTTTTAAACATTTCGAGAAAAATTTCTTGAAAATCATCTGAGTAACCTGAAACTGCGACATACGCTGCCAAAACAAACAAACCGAAAAGTAAACGGTCAGAAAGCTACAAGTCAAACAGTAAATAGACACCAGTTATAAAGTATGAATTTTGAAATAACAATCAGCGCTCCTGATAACAGCCTGAGTCAAAAGAAGGTTGATAATAGTAAAAGAACTACTTTCCCAAACTTTTTCGAGGAAAAATTTTCAAACTATATAAGAAAATAAAACATACCTGATGTTGATGGAAATAAAGTTCCAAGATACGATAAGGCAAAATTGAGACTATCTATGTCATGAATAAGAAACCAAAGCAATGGAGTTAGATGATATATTTCTAGAAAATCAAAAAATTTTGAGTTCCTGTTGCACGATTTAAAATTAAAAAATCTATTATTACCCACAAAGTAATAATAAACCCATATTGGATACCCAGAAAACTTCTGGTAGTTGATCAACAATAAGGCTTAATAAGAACAGAAAAAGCTACGAATCATCAGATGACAAAACCTTTATTATTATTGATTTCGTCAACAAATATGTCTTTTACAATAGTCCAATTAGCCACCGCAAAAGCGTGGACGAACAACAGACAGCCATTCCTAAAGAAAGAAACAATTCACTTCTAACTACCTTAAAACTTGGAAAGTCTGCATGAAGTAAATCAACTTTAATTTCGATAATTTCTTTTTTTCGGCATAAATACAAGTCAAATAATTTTCACACCCTTCAAATCCGTTGATTGTAATTTTTTTTGGCAACGCCATACATAAACAAAGCTCTCACAACAAAGAACAATGCATTACCTCAGCTTTCTATTCTGACTGCAAACAAAATCGAAGCTTTTTCGTAGGAAAATTTTGCACTTCTCTAATAATCCACTTGTGAGCATATCCAAATTAATGCAAACCTATAGCATGTAAAATTTATGAAGCTAAACTCATTTTAATCTTACTTGACAGCAATAAAGAGAACAAAAACACTTTTCATGGAACTATTATAGCAGCAAGGAAACAAAATTCTGAAGACGAGTGAATACCTTCAATAATTTGTAACGCGTAAACTGAGCGATTTCTCGATCATATTTGTCAAGCATTTCAATAAATGACAAATGATACTTCCGCAAGAGTGCAACTACAACAAATATTTTTGCTCCGAAGACACAAGATATTAGAACAATTTTAAACGATATTTAAACAGATGATGTCACTGAAAAGAAATTAAACTTTTTAAGTAGGAAAAACTTAAAAGTGACCGAGTCAACAACCAAAAATCATTTCCGGCTATAAAAATTGAAGCCTGCTATAAAACCAATTAAAATATATTTCGAAAAACATACCCTGCTTAAAATCACCGGCTACATCAATCCAGTGACACAATAACTTCAAACTGGTGTTAACCACTTCAGATTTATCAGCAGAAGAACTGAACGTATCACCTGAAAATCTTTCCACGTAAAGTCATATTAATGAAATGATTTTTAAAATATATAAAATTATAAAAAATAAAATACCAAAACAACGATTGAAAACGATAAAAAGAGGAAACTGCTACCTTTGCACAATAATAAGAGCCACGAGAAAACATTCTCAAAAACGATTTTGAATGATGATTCGCTAGACCTGAGCAAAATCTTAAAGAATGCTAACATTCGACTCGTTAGACCTAACTCGGTTTGTAACACAAAAATTTCGCCCTCTGCAAACAGCGAATGCATTAGTAAAACAACAATAGCTAATCAACTGTGCTATATGAACTATTTGATATGCAGCACCTTGAGCTGCCTGCATGTTGATTCAAATAGAAGTAAAACATAATCAAGAAGCAATCTGCCACTGGTCCTTAATATTCAGAGGTAATACCTAAACTTCACTACCATTAGATTTCCAGAAAGTTTACAAGCCATAATTTAAGAAAATTTTGAAAATCTTACTCTCAATAAATTCTTGGCATATACGTTCAATCCGCTGCTCCTTATCCTGGAAATATATGCAATCCAATCTTTTTAGACCTTTCAAAAAAAAAGTTGAAATTTTGTCAAGAATACCCAATCCTCCTTCAAATGCACCTGTAAAATTGGTACCTTAATATTGACTTCTTTCAAAGATTTCAGCATTGAAGAAATAGCAACACTGATTGGTTCTGGAACGTAATCGTCATCTACGCTTTTCGGCAAATTGAATAAAATCGATCTTATGCCTACACACAACTGATCGATGTGACTAACAAGGTGATAGCATGGAAAAACTGCACACGCTTTGGCCTTCAAACTAAGATTATTTGAAAAACATTTTAAATTAAGATAAAACAAGCTGTTACGTAATTTTATATTATAAAACAGCAAAACGAACGAGAATTCAACGAGATCTTTAAAAAACGCAAATCTTTTAAATTAGAAGCTTTTAAATTAATACTTCTCCGATATAAAAAGGATGATGCAAATGATTTAAGCCAATAAATCGGAATACCAAGTTGAAGTATAATATCATACCAAAAATGAGCAAACTTCTAATTTTGTATTTATTGAATATTCACTGTCCAGAAGTTTTTCAATAATCAGCTCGAAAACGAACGGTGCAAACTCTTCATCAATAAGCAGACAACTTTCACAACCACTACTTAACAGTTCTTTGGTAATTTCTGGTCGTTCCTTCGAGTTCTAAGATATAAGACTTCAATAAATAGAGATAATAAAGTTATAATACAAATTTTTACAACCTGTGCGTAGTCCGATATTAATCAACCTAACGCAACATTGTATTTAATTGAAATAAAATTAAAATAACGAAATCTAATGGTTCCATTGAAAAATAAAAATTTTACTAACGTAGTTAAACTCAATGGGATAATAACAAGCAACAACATCAAACAAATCACTTGAATGAATATCAAACAAATTTCTTGGGAAATCTCCTGAAATTGTGAACTCATCAGATAAGAGTAAAAAAAAGAAACTGATAATACATAGTTATATCTCAACTACTCATTCAGCACAATGTATTATTTAAATCAATACAACGTACTATTTAAAAAATTGAAATAATTTTACCGATTTTATTCGATGAAGTTAGTATCAACTTCATGAAATAAATCATTTCTTAGAAGTCACTTACCAGAACTAAAGTATTTGCAGACAGTGCAAAAGAGACGAAAAATAAGAATGAGGCATCGGGGATCCCGTTCTCCGGATATAGATGATATAAAGTAGGAAACAAACTGCGCGTTTGTTGACAGTTCTGAAAACAATTACAGTCCTCATCTTTTTTAAGTTCATAGAACACTTCCATCTTATTTATCAGAAAATGCTTATTAAAGTAACTCCTTCTCTAAATGTTTGAGGAACAATTTCGTTTTTTCCCGAATGGATGCAACAATTCAGCAACCCAGTATATTTTTGGCAATTAAATTAATCAAATTTTTAAGATAATAACTCGAATCTGCTAATTATAAAATGTCTGAATTTCGCAAAAGCTAGTAACAAATTTTTGTAACCTTTGAAGTATTTGTACAATAATATATCTAAAATCTGATAAAACAGAAAGCGTTCCTTTTGGGCATAAATTTGCACTTGTCGTTTCCCAAACAAAGTGTCGAATAGACGTTGAATATAATTACTCGTCATATGTAAATTACTCATTAGCTGCAACAGAAAAAGTTGTATTAATTTCTTAAATAAAGAAATCGCTGAAACAAGTCGAATTAATGGTCAGTCACAAGCCACTAAAGTGTTAATTAATTTTTCAACGTGACAATTGCCCGAGTTTTTCACATAAATAAATTTTTAATTGATAAAGATTAACTCTTAATTCAGTGAATCAATTACTTAGTCCTAATATTAGTTAAAATTAATAAGTAGTTGTAAAATTAATAAATAGTTGTAAAAAAAGAACATTTAACAAGAGCAGACGATCAACTGTGATTCTTAAATTTATTAAGTCATATCTTTAATTATATATGTTTTTTTGAGCAGCATTTAACAAATGATAAAAATCATTGACTGCTAAATAAGGAATTCAACTGCATGAAAAGACTTACCAGCTTTTTGAGAACCGTCAATATAAAACAGTTTACAGCATCAAAATTATCATAGTTCATCAAGCAGAAATTCAGAAGTAATTCCACTGAAAGCAGTTAATATGAAGCATATTTGCATAAATGATATTCATTAAATTAATTGGAGTTGATATAGACAACATTTACCTTGCGATAACTCCCATGGATAGTTTTGCGGAAGTTTGCTTACCACCAAACAAATTCGTTTTAGTCCATGTTCTCTTCTTATTCGATCCTCACACTTTATTTCGGATCTAAAAAAAAGAGCAAACAAAGCGTGGCATAATTCAAAAAATTAGGTCAATTCCAAGAGTTCTATCAAATTCCAAATAAACAAATCCTAACTTGTTTTAATTTCTAGAAGTGTCACGAATTCATATGGCCTAACGTTAAAGACAACAAATTTGAGAGATTCATCGATTCATCAGATTCATCAGATACATCTTAAAACACGCTTCACTTTAATTTCGTAACAAGATATACAAAGAAGAAGAACTAACCGAAATGACTCGATGAATGCGAGTAAGGTAGAAGACTTCCCACGGGATATCTTATCTACCCACTGATTGACAAAACATAAGTCTTCATCAACTTCCGCTATCGTTTCTTTCTTGTTCATCGCAAATCTAAAAAAAAAAGCCTTCCAATGGTTACTGTTGCAATTGAATAATATCAATAAATATTTCACTCTCAGTTACGATTTCATCAAAGATTTTAAATCTTCCATCAGACGAAAACAGAAGAAAGAGTTGAAGGGGAAAAATAAAACGTGAAATTACAAAAGTAAGGGATGATTACTTTTCATTACTGATAGCATCAATATTTCATGTCAGATCAGACAACTTTTCAGAGTTCTTTCGATTCTAAACCTAAATCATACCTTGGTGATTGATCTATTCTATATTCAATATCTGTAGAAAATCAATTCGTACAATAATCTAACCCCTCTTATCGATTACAAACCAAAACACAGTACAGCAAATAAATTTGGTGCTAAGTTGACTTAGATTACCATATGAATTGAAGCATAATTCACCAATCGACGTTACATATAAATTAACACAATCTAATCTGTCACGAATCGTATACGATGTTGGGTTGAGCTTTGACCTGTCTTCCTAAATCTATATTCCAACAACTCGGTTCCGACATAAACCTACAACGATCGAATACTATCGCGCTGAACTTCAATCCAAAGCTGTTGCATGCGACGAGCACGCAAGATTTTTGTTGCTAGGAAGACAGCAGTAGAACTCGGTTCAGTAAGATTTTCGTTTCTTCAGGTATGATGTGATATGCAAAATGTCTCGGTTTTCTCGGGAACTAAAATCTGTGTTACTGTTGCAGAGAATATTTTGGATATCTTGTGGACAAAGCCACTAGAAGCTTAGCTATTTCCAATAGTAAATCCACAGTTGGCTGTATGCAAAGCAATCTGTTAATGTACATAAATAGTTGCCTGGAAAAGTCGGTAAATATATGAAGCACTCATTAGCAAATGCAACAGATCACGCAAATGAAACAAATCCAAAGCAGAAAAATAATTTAATATTCGCTTCCTGTACGTGTCGAAGGACGTACTGTCGTATGTGTGCTAACGCGAGCAAATATGAGAATGCAATAAACTGCGGCCAATAAAGATCGCGACACGTAATGGAAGAATGGATAGTAGGGAAAACATCGAAAGATCAGCAAATAGTGGTATCACGGAGCAGAAAACAATCGGTATCACTGAGCAAGAAATGATCAACGAGCCGACAGTACAATACCTACAAAAGCAATCAACCAAGTTGGTTAATAATAGAGCTTTTCAAATGAAGAAATCTCGATTCGATTTCGAAGCAATCACTATACAACAGTTTCCAAGATGTCTTCCTATTTCATATCAAGCTTATTTCGTTTTCATATTCGTATGATGTTCAGATCATACCAGATGATATCGATGTGTGTGGTACATGTGTGTGATCTTTATAAATTCCTTCTGATAATTAGATTCAAAAAATAGGACTAAATCAAGTCAAGAAATTGATTGATTCAATTTTAACTTCCATTCATGTACAACAAATTGATAGAAATATGTTTTTAAGACATGAATTGAATAAGATACATTATTGCTAGACATGCAATGATAAGAGAACGGCAAAAAACACTGGAATAATAGGCTGACTAAAATAGAAAAGAGCCGAGTTGCATAGCATTTTCTTGCAGCAACAATCCCAAACGTTCACCAATGGTCCTCTCTTAAATCCCATAAATTTTGCAGCAACAGAACCAACAGTGCAACCTTCATCCTGCCGGAAAATTTTTCGTAATGTTGAAAGATAGCAATATTGATTAAAAAGACGAAAACTTTATAAATGAAACACTTCACTTCTTCTTCTGCTTTTTACCACTAAAAAACTTTTGGAAATATTTTTCGTGCAATGTTATAAAAAAAAACTCAAGCGATGAAAACTTTTAATTTAATAAATCGAAATTACCACGCAAATTCCACTATCATCGCAAGATTTGATAATAAATGATCGCCGCTGAAATGTTATTTCCATTTGTTGGTATTGTTAGACACAATAAAGAGAAAGCAAACTGAATGCATCGATTGTTTTCCCTTGCTGTATGTCTATGTAAATAACTCGAGAATCTCTATTGAGGTATCTGGGAAGAATTATAATATTCTTAAGCATTCAATATGTTATTATTCCATCCGAATATTGCTACGGTGCCCAGATGCCGTGGAACTGTGGGATTGTACAACCGTGGTGCTTGCGAAATCGCAGATGAGCGATTTTGTTAACCGAAAGGAAAAATTCAAAATGAAAAGAGAAACGAAAAAGTGCTACTACTACAGCCCACGAAATGTTCCGGAACTATAGGTTCGGAATTTGTTCGACCAAATCTTGAACCTAAATTCCTGTGAATCCCAAGAATCACTGATGATGTTCGAATGGCAGTTTTTCAGATTTCAATTATTTAAATTCGTACTGATGAAGACTATTTTGTTTTTCATTTAACAATAAACGCAATGTAAGAGAAAATCATAGATCCATTTGTCCGTTCTTTCAAGTTTGTTCAATTCTTTAATTTAATCAAAATAATATTTTTTAGAAAAATAAAATAAAATGATTACATTTCTGAAATCAACACGATGATATTTAACGCAAAAATATTTTGCTTGACAAGTTTCAATTTTGAAGGAAGTTGGCGAGTGAAAATATTCCGTTGTAACACCGTGGTAGCATTTTAAACCAAGTACCGAATTGATACAAATAACTGATAATGAGATGAACAAATACACGACACAAATCCCTCCAAAAATAAAAGAAAAAGAATTAAAACCGAAAATATGAAATTTAAATTTTGCGAATCACAATAATATACGAAACAGAATTTGAACTCAATGCCAAAAAATTTCAAAAATCTTGAAAATTCTTCAATAGCTTTTTTTGATCTTATTGTCTTAAAATATAATTCAGTTATCTTCCACAAATAGATACTGAAACTAATAATAATTATACTTATGATAATAATAATTATTACTAATTTTGACTTCCTGAAATTGAGATATGATAACGATATTGTTATTAGAAAAAAATCCAACTTTTCAGATACATGTGTTTTCCGCATGAAACCGTCGATTTTGTGCAATCTTCGCTTTTTGCATCTAAAAATCATTAATTAATAAAATATTCGCTTCGAACTTATAACTACCAGTAGCCTAATTGATGAAAAATTCCAACAATGCTATTCAATAATTAGTATCGTTAACCAATTTCCAAAATTCCAATGTTTAGACGTATTTGGCGTCCTATCACGCTACTATTATACACAAACAGTATTAATGAATTTGAAATAACGATTGATATTGCAAAATAATGAACTATCTGATCGATAACACATTTAGAAACATTTTAAATTTCAGTATTTTACATAACGTACAATAGGATGAATCTACAGTCATAATGACAAGTAGGTTTCTCAGAAAATTATTACTGCTAATTGAAGAAGAAAAAACACGCTTATAAATCGAATTCAATTACAATCATAATCAGAAATTATTATGATATCTTAACAAGCAATTAATATTTACTGTATTTATCTAACAAAGATGATAATAATTAACTGATCTTCCTTCCCTTTGAAAATATGCTCATGTATTCTAAAATGTTAAAAATTTGTGCACATTCTATACGTTTAAAATTTTCAAAGAATTTATCGATAAACAAGATTAGATTAATTGATTACAGTTCATTTAATTTAAATTTGACCAAATCAATTTCAAAATATAATTTAATTGACATTAAAAGGGAAGAATAGTTGTGAAAAAGTTCGACAAGTACACAAAAAACAGACACTAAATTGCTAAATTTTAAAGGGATGAAAATTCAAGCAAAAAAAAAATGAATAAAAACAGATGATTATATAAATATGAACACAAAAATTTCCTTATTTGTTATATATATGAGAAAGGCAAACATGAATTGCAATTATGACCCTTAATTGAAATTTATTAAAGTTTATTTTAATTTTATCCGACAATTTATATGAATAAGTTTCTTTTGAAAATTTTCACTGACAAAAAGAAACGGTTTTGAACAAACCTTTTATAAAACATCGAAAATAAAAACGATCAATATTAGCTATCGTTTTAAAAGCATGGCAGAAAAAAATGAATTAGATGTGTTCTCATTTTCTTTCAACTATTTTTTCCACAAACTTAAATGCTGAAGAAAAATAAAAAATCTCAAAATATCTTAGACAAGTTGCTGTCTGATTTTCAACAAACAGACCAATCAAATTATTCAAAACAAACCAATATCAGCTGCTTAAAATATATTAAAAATATGAAAATATTTGAAATTTCATGATCTAAAATAATTATTATTTCTATTTAAAATATGCAAATTTTTGAACTGTGAAAAATATTTAAGAGGAATAAAATGAATAAATTGGAAACACTTTTTTTTGAATAGCGCAATTAAACAATTCTTTACGTTTTCAATTAATCCGTTTAGCGCCTCTCATCATTCCTGAAGATACTTCTGGAATAAAAAATGAAAATTTCTATATGTGAAAAGCAAGCAAAGTTCAAATTTTTGCTTCTATTTCTTATTTTCTATTCGAAGAGTGTAAAATTTATTAAATGAAGGGATAAATATTTTTTTGGTGTGGTAAACTTCCATGAAAATCAAAATTTTAGGGAAAAATTCAATTATATCAAAAATAGTTTATAATTTTGATATATTCATTAAAAATTGATTTTGTACGAATAACTAGTTTTTCAAATATATTAATTTTTTTAAAAAGCAGTACTACTCTCCATTAATATCAAATTATCCTCAATTATTGGCGGGATTTTAATTTATGATACGATTTCATTTAATTTATAACATGTAGCAAACAATTTCATGATGAGAAAAATTTCACACTCCCCAACGTTATCAATATCAAAGCAACAAAAACAATATCAGTGCAATTTCAGGATCCGCTTTACAAAAAAAGAAAAAATCTTAAACTTAAAAAAAAATTTTGCAAAAATCCTTTCTTGCTCGTTGTCAAAATTCAATTATTGCTATATAGACACAATTATATTCCTAATGTCTACGGGAAGAAATGGAAAGGCGA